CCCCAAAACCCCAAACCCCAAAACCCCAAAACCCCAAAACCCCAAATGTTAAGCATATATTTGAAAATAAAGTTTAAATTATTTAAATTTACTTGAAAGATGGCTCCAAGAAGTCCGAGAGAACCTTTCAATATTGAAAAAGATAAGAAATTTGTCGAACATGTTACTTGCATCCAAATTTTAGCATTCTTATCCTTTGTTCTGTTCTATGCTGAAGTAATATCAATAGTGATTGCAGTTAACTATTTTGAAGATAAAGATTATTTCTGGTTTGCTTTTCAAACTGCTTTCTATTTGTCTTTCATTATTTTCTTTGTATGGATTACTTTGTCATTTATTATATTTATGATATTATCCCTTGTTGATTTTATTATCTGCTGCCAACAATGAAGCAAAAATCATTTCCATTTCTTAAAAAAATTCATTAAAAAGAAGTTCTTAATCCCTTTGAAATATTCGATCTATTGCTGGTGGCCATTAAGTCCTCTACTCGGACTGAATTATTTGTACCCTCTATGACACGACAACGAATACAAGAAAGAAATAAAGGATAGCCTAAGGATACGCATTTATATAACACTGATGCATGAACTCATAAGGTCAGGAGGGTCAGTAATACTCCAATCATACTCTCTCATAGAAGGTAAATTTCATAAACAATAATTTAGGCACGAAGGCACCTGACTATTTGATGATAATTTCTATTACAATCAATGCTATTTGCTTTTTCAAATGCAAAATGATTTATTGCTACCAGTCTGTTAAAGGCATCGAAAATTTAAATGGATGCAGAAAGTTCTTACAGTACTGAATAATCATTGTGGAAACAGGAGCGATTCTTTCCTCCCTCATTTCAATTACTAGATATGGAAAATTCTGGGGACTTCTCATTTATTTTATCGCTCTCATTGTTAACATATACTACACAATGAAAATAGAAAATGATGATGAGAAGAGAATCATTGAGAAACAGAAGAAGGACGCTAAAGAAAATAAAGAAAAGCAAAGAGATAATGAAGTCTCTCGGTGAAATGAGAATGTTGAAGACGCGGAAGAAGTCGATGATGAAATTGAATTGAAGGAAGAATTAATATCTGACAGGCTTATTATCAAGGATTATGCGATCACAATGCATGACTACATATGTCTAATATGAATTCGAGTTTTTAGAACAAGGCTTATTTCTAACTATTTTTTAGAAATTCTCCAGATGGCAAAAATATCCCTCTTAAGTAAGTTTTAATGGTTGTATGTCATTCAATAACATTATAGTTGGTTTTTGAGGCTTTATCTATTATGAAAGAAATGGAGTTGATGCTTTGATAGCAATTGTATTCAACTCGATACTATTATTCTTGTTAGGTGTGTATTTCATCGCATCTTCTAAAGATCCACAGAAAACTAAGGATGACGAGTCTGATAATGAATTTTTAAACGATCAGAAAACAAGAGAAAACATCGTAAGTCCATAAAAAAAGCCAGTTTAATTCAACCTGTAGAATCCTAAGAGAGGAATGCCTGGAAGCAAGAAATATATTCAAGATTCTGAAGATGATAATGAAGAAGACCATAGAGAAGAAAATAAAGATGAAGAAGAAGTTCAAGTTCCCGATCCTGAAGTAGAACTGACAGACCGCCTTAAAGGTCCTACCGCCCCAACTTTGGTTACAAATCCTGCTGAAAACTAAAATTTTTGAATTTATATTTCAATAATTGGAAACAAGTTTGGGGTTTTGGGGTTTTGGGGTTTTGGGGTTTTGGGG